TAAGTGAGTACCCGATATCATAGTAGTAAATGGGAAGTGCCATAACACAATCCTAACTTCTTTTTAGTATTTTTTTAAAAATAAAAAATTTTAAATTCAAATCACATATGACATATAGTTGAGTGGGTTAAGAGATGAGAAAGACTAAGGATATGTTTGGTTTTAGGGGACGGTAGAGTAGGAGAAAAGAGAAAAGAGAAAATTTATTTATTTATTGTATAAAAGGATGGGAAGGAGAGGGGGGAAATATCTTCTAGGTTATTAAAAGAATTGAAAAAAGGAAGAGAAGAAAAGTGTCATTTATTTTATTTTATTTTTTCATTTAATTTATTTACTTATTTAAATAAGAGGATGTGAGAGGTTTTTCATTTTTTTTAAATCAAACATATTTTTAATTAAAAAAATTAAAAGAGAATAAAATCTTTAATTATTTATTTTTATGACAACTTTTGATTTTACTCCTTTCCCCTTTTTTTCAAACCAAACCCACCCTTGGCTTCCATTAAGCATCATATGATAGAAAAATAGATAACGAATAATAAGTGACAAGTAAAGTAACTTGTCATCGAAGTTAAGATATGGACCCCCTTTTTTTCTTTTCTTTTCCTTTTTTTTTTTTTTTATTTCCCATCAGCTATCTAGCCAATGTCAGGGTGGGCCTTTGTGCCTCATCATGTATTCCAGTGTGTAGTATGAACGACAACGCCCTGTTGACATTGGGTAGGCACCCTCTCGATATTTAATGCATTATAAATTTATAATTTATATTTTGGAAGGATTGATATCTTTGTCAAATAAAATAAATTTATAATTTAGAATTAATAAATTTGAGTACTGCATGGTTTTACTTGAGATGGACATGGAGGTGGCAGAGAAATCTTTTTGCATTGGAAGCAGATTTTTTTGCAGGAACTAACAGGTGTGTTGCAAAGGAAGACGTACAGCTTCAGAAAGGGAAAAGAGATACCCGGGTGTGGAAGCACCAGGCATGATCCAAAGGGCTCATATATAATGAGCTCAACTCACAAGACTCTACATTACCTATTTTCAAAAAAAAAAAAAAAAAACTTACAAGACTCTAACTATGGACCAGCGCGCAAGGACGGATCTCTACAAACAGATATGGAGCAAGAGGGTACCAATGAAGGTGTCAGCTAGCCTTTCAACTAGAGAGAATTTATGGAGTAGAGGTGTGAAAGATATGGAACAAGAGGGTGCCAATGAAGTTGTTTGCCTTCCAACTAGAGGGTGATGACTTAAACATCCCCTGTTTACATGCAAAGCATCTTGGATAATATGGCTATTCAGGTAATGAATACATGGTGGGGCATTACAGTTGCATCACAAGCAGGGGTGGACCTACTTGGAGGTTGAGTTAGGCATGGGCCCTACCCAGCCTCAAAAAAAAAAAAAGAAATGAAAATATTTAATTAGGAGCAAGGCTGGAAAGAAAAAAAACCGAAGGCCCTACCATAAATCCATTGATAGAGTAAGAAAAAAGTTTTTAGGTTAGCTAGGGTTAAAAGAAAAAAGACCCTACCTGTGGTTTCTCCCTAGTTCCACCCTGATCACAAGATGAGGGTGTGAAACATTTGCAGCAATGTACATGGCTATTCTCTAACGGGAGCACCAAGGAAGCATGGGCAGTAGTTTGGTTCACAATGATTTGGCCCCTATATATATGGCTATGGCGAAATCAAAAAGTCTTGAAGAAAGAAGCTTACTCTCAAAGCGAGGTACTTGATTTAATTAAATTTAGATCTTTCAAGTGAATTAAGCTAGCTTTTCTTCAGAATTATCAAAAGATTACTGGTATATTTCTCCCGCGAAAGCTTGCTAGATGGCATTGAAATGAAATGGTATGATTTTGTCATCTCGATCTCTAGCTGGTTTGGTTTGATTGCAAGAATATGGTTAGATAAGATCCGTGCAATTTTGTATGAAGCTTCGCTGATGTACTGGCCTTAAAACATATTCTACAATGGATCGGAATATCCCATGTACTCTATATTAATAATAATAACTTCGTTTTGCTGATAAAGAAAAAAACAAAAGAAGGGAATTCAACTTCTCTTGTTCTGCTCTTCTAAGGCTCTGTCCAGGGAAAATCTTCCATAAGGAATAAATTAATTTAATTCCACCATTTATCATAACGTCGTGCTCCCTTCCCGCATTTTTAAGAAAAATATATGAAGACAAGCAATTTACATGTAGAGATAAAAGAATTTTCAATGTGAACGCGTGGATCTTGGCCTGTGGCATGCATAATTTCTGTGGAATTTTGCATTTCTAAAACCAATTAATAATCTCAATTTTTCAGGTTAGGCACCAAAATTCCTAGCATTCCTGGTTCATTTGGTGAGGAGGAGGGGAGGACAGGTGATAAAGCTAACAAACAAGTTAAAGCATGAGAAAATTGTCCTTTTAAACCACATGCCCCATCTTGAGTTTTCAAACAAATAAGAAAAAATGGCTTAAAAGTGTGACAATTCTCTTGCTTTACGAACTCTATCTTGGTTCCTCCCCCTAATTTTATTATGTTCGGCTTATTTCTTTCAGTGGTAGTGCTAGGGTGGGCGTCTTTTCCGTTAATTGAGTAGACTGATTGACTTTTAACTAATCATTTGGTTAATCAATATTTTATCATTTTATTCAGCAAAACAACAAACTTTATATTTTTGAATTAAAAAAAAAAACAAAATTTGAATTATTATCTTGACCTTTTCTCGCTAAACACACAATTGATTGTTGATTATCGAAGTGAGAAATTCAAATTAGAATTAATTAATTGATAACATTAACTCAAAATTACAACTATATTAAATAAAAGTTAAGAATCTATTAAATTAACTCAATTTTATCAGTTAATTCTACTTGAGTAATTGATCAATTGATTACTTTAAACAATTAAAAAATTAAAATCACTAAAATACTTTAAAATACCCAACATTGGCTCCTTAATTAAAGCCCAATAGTTACATTAACCTTATGTTAAAATTTGATTGCTTAAAAAATCTTTTTGTTCCCTCCCCTTCTCTCCATTTCCCTCAATCCGAACATACTATATAAGTTTAAGTAATTAAACAGATCCAAATGGTTGAAATACCTTAATTTTATTATTATTTTCAGTTTCAACTCTAAGTATTGATTTACGAGGATGGTGATTTTATTACCCACGCTATGACATTTGCAAATATATGTATCAGAAACTGTTGGGAATGGTAAAAAAATTAAAAAAAATTAATATTCATGTTCCTATCCTCCGTCCTAGTCAGAAAAACAAAAGGATTAATTTAAAGGATTTCAATTTACTGTTAAGTTATGTTGGAGTAAAAAAAATTCTCCAAAATTTATTGTATACTACATTTTGAAATGTAGAAAAATTAACATCATATATATTACTTTCATAATCAATAATATAGTTACAATAAATTATATTAATAACATTAACTATGTCAGGCATGACATATGTGACCTTATTAACCTTATTAACTAAGAATTTGCAAACCACATTTCATCCATTCTTCAGTTCGGACTTCCTACCTGTCGGCACTTATCTGGGACCGGAAGTTTAATAGCCCAAATCTAAAGTCCAAACAGACGACTACCTCATGGGTTTATGGGTTCGGGCGGCTTGGTAGCTATATGTAAATGGACAGGAAAATGATTCACAACGAGGGTGGTAGTTGGCGGTGGTGCCAAAGGCCCAAAGCCATTTCATCCCCGCAATTGACATCTGGGTTTGCGTGCAGATGCCCCACTCTCCCTTGTAAATGGAAAAAAAAAAACAAAAAAATCCACAAACAATTGACTTTTTTTCCTAAACAATATTCATATTGATATGTCTCTATTTGTTTAATAATATAATGTGACTAGAGTGAATTTTGTTAAGAGATAAGATTGTATTTATATCAACTTCAATATATAAAACTACATTTTAGTGTTGCACTTCATCCGAGGAGTTTAATATGATCATATGATTATGGGGTTTAATATGATATGATTCTTATAAAATCTATATTATAAGGAAATTTGTGAAGAAAGATAAATAAAAAGAGAATTATATTAGGAGAAATTTAAATTTTGCTTTTTTAAGGGTAAATTTTTTATTTTATTGTTTAAGAATACGAAGAGTAGTACTGCAATTCATTACTGCTAATATGCCAGTTGCTTAATATAATAAGATCATAGTGCACTGATGCATTCATTTTTAAAATTTTTTTTAATTTACTGTTAGAGTCTCTCCATATTAGTCTTTTTGGTCCTTTCAAGACTAGTTTTATCTTAGAGAAATTTAAAGGCAATTTGGTGTATATAAAAAAATTAATTTTTTAAACTATTACTCTTAAAATTTGAATCTAATTTATAAAAATATTTATTTACCAGTTGATCTAACCCTTGAAATTACACTGATGGACTCCTTCAAGCTCACGTTGGTTCCAGAAACCAATCATTTAAATTAAACCAGTGCTCCCTTGATCTTCTCGTGATCCAATAGAAAGCTCTGTGCTGTGCCAACTCAAAAATTTTCACCTTATTTTGTTCACTGTTTCTGAATATGTTCTGATTTCTGGCCCAAAATACAAAACACCAAATAGTAATCCATCCCTGGATCCATAACGTTTTCATCTTTGAATCGAGAAATCTGCTGTTGATATGCTTTTGTAATTTCAATCCCTCCATAACATATTAGAAGAAATTTAAATTTTGTAATTTCAGGAAATTAAATCAAAATGCTTTTTTGGTAGCACAAGAGAGGAAGGAGAAGGGCACCAGAGAAACCCTAGTATTGATAAGGCAATTGATTTATTCTAGTAAAATTATTAGTACATTTTCTTGTTTAACACACCCATTAACATTTATTGGTTTTAGTCATTAAAATTTGTAATTTTAAATTTTCTTAATTATCTTTAATTTAAATTTAAAAACAATAATTTTTTAATAAAAGTATTGTTGAGTGTATTAAATCATATAGTATACCAATCAATATTCTTTATTTTAATATAGAGTAAGGAAAATAATTGAAAAATCCTTTGAATAAACACACTTGTTACTATCTATCCGTTCAATATTAAAATCTACAGTTTTAAGTTTTCTTATATTTTATAATTCAAATTTAAAAGTAATAATTTTTTAATAAATATGTTAAACTAAAGGATACACTAATCATTATTCTATAAGATAATTATTGTATTTTCTTTTTATTTAACATGTGTTACACATGTCTAAAGATCAATTTTTCTTCATCTACCCTCTTAGATGTTTAAATTTGTCAAGATGTTGGACAATGACGGTGGAAAATTAAATGTTCAACTGTTTAAATTAATCAAAATCTGAGAGGGTAGATGAAATGAAAGCGTGACTCTATAACAAAATTAAACCAAGTCAAGTAAAGAACACAAAAAGTCGATTCTTCTTTACACCTAACCCTGGTGTAGTGGAAACTCTAGAGCCATGGCTCCCCTCTTGTTCCATTCTTTAATTTTCTTTCCCCTTTTTATTCCAACCCTTCTGTTATTTTTTCCTTTTTGTCTCTTTTTTTTTTTTTTTTTTTGTTGGGGTTTTTTAAAGGATTTTTACCTTCCTTGAAGGTCTCACTTTTAATGGGAGCTTATGTCTTCCAGTAATGCTCGTTTAGGTTCTAATAGTATATATATGTTACAGCATATTAGGGGGTATTTTTTTTTCCTAATTTTTTTTAGTACCTTGTACCTAAATGGGAGTATCTGTTATTGCATATTAAGGGGGGTATGAAGTAGCTAGGTTGCCTCTTTTGCCACGTTTGTGTGCCAAGGTGCAGAATCTATTGTATTTGATACCTTCTTTATCAATAAATTTTGTTTTCACCAAAAATTATTAAACAGGAGTCCCATTTGCTCTTTAATTTTTCACTATGTGGGCAATGAGTCTCATGTTCACAATGAATTTGTTTCAGTTTTTCCAATATGTTGCCCAACATTCTGGTATGACAATAGCTTGGGTCGACGATAGTTGAAAGGAGACCGATGCGCAGCTCCTTTTTCGATTTGTCATCATCCTTAACAAAATCCTTATCACTTTCCTGATATATAATTACTGGAGTAGTCATCAGAAATTGAAGCATTAATCTAACAGAAATAGATAATATATATCTTTGTTTTTTAAAACGGCAAAGAAAAATGATTTTATTAATCATATATAGTACAATGGGTACTTCAAATATTACAACATTTTCATTAAGTTGATACTCCCTAAATATTTAAATTGCTCAAAATCAAAGAAACACCATAATACTCATAAAAGTTTTACTAAATTAATACTCACTGATAATAAAATCTGAATTACAAATCTCTAAGTAGGCGCCATCTAGGCAGTATTTTTCCCTCTCAATATTTAGAAGAAGCATAATATTGTGGCAAGTAGCAGAGAAATAGCGGAACAAATATCAAACAGTTTCCGGTGAATATTAGAGGTGGAGGCAGAACCAAAATCAGGATTCAATTTATAATCGGGGAAGTAAGGCGCCGTTCCGCTAGCGCCGCTAGGCGGGGCATAAGCTGTACCGCCGATAACGCGGGGCTGGGCCGGCACCGCATCTGGTTTACAGTCAATGCATGGTAGGCATTCGTGGCAGGTTGGTGGTGGTGGCGGCGGGCATTCTGGTTCTGGAGGTGGTGGAGGAGGGCATTCTGGTTCTGGAGGTGGTGGAGGAGGGCATTCTGGTTCTGGAGGTGGTGGAGGAGG